GACAAACTAAACACAGGCTCGTGAGCACGCACAACTATTCTGGCAACTGACCTCCAGACCTTGCCGAGGGTGACTCAGCCTAGAATTAGTTCGAATGTTCTCTGTCAACACGATAAAATGAAAGTGGAACTAAGTAGCCAGTTGTGGTTCTGCATCAACACCTCAGCATGCATCTCACCAGCCTCAACAACACCCATTGGCTCACCACACAAACACCCACAGACTCACCACACAGATACCCATCGACTCACCATACAAAGTCCTATAGATTCACCACATAGAGACCGATAAACTATTCACACAGAAACCCATAGACTCTCCACACAGATACCCATAGATTCACTATAAAGTCCCATATACTCATCACACAGAGACCCATAGACTCACCACACAGACCATTATACTCATCATACAAAGACCCATAAACGCTTCACACAGAAACCCATAGACTCTCGTTAAACCTGCCACCACCCGACACAGCAATTTAGTTGCTAGTTCAGCCACACATCGGTTGTGTGTTTGCAGAGTAAGCCCACTACACACATTCACAGTCCGAGGTGTGACGCTTCGCCGGTATTTACAACAGCAAAAAACAACCAACCGAAACAGGAAGAAATCCTTTTCCAGTTTAGGTCTTAAATGTATTGAGTGAAAGAGAGAGATGAAAAAAAGAGATTAGTCGCGTGGAGCTGATGGTGGCTAGGAGATGTTATCTCCCTCGCCTGGTAGGCAATAACTCGTGGGTTTGGTCCCGACCCTGACGCCTACTGTAGATTTGGAGTCTGCGTCTCTCTCTCCGTGGTCACGTGGATATTTCTCCAGGTCCTCTGGGTTGAATCCCTCCGCATTTATAAATCAGAATCAAGCGTTTAGATTATGTTGGCATCTGCTATAAGGGGCCGTCCATAAATTACGTCACGCAATTTTGGACGATTTTTGACCCCACCCCCCATTCGTCACACGGCGTCACAAAAAGTCATACCCCCTCTAAAATATGACGTCACAAAGCTCTGCTCCCCCCCAAAAGAGATAAAACATCCTTCAAATCGCTCTAAACTATTGTCATTGTAGTGTGTATTTAATGTGGCGCTGCACTCTGATGTTGAAGGAGAAAACATTTATAAAAAATCCATTTAAGTAGAACGTGTTGTCTATATTTATTTAAAGTTGCGCTTTTTGATGTGACGTCACATTTATCAACAACCCCCCCCCCCTCGGCACATATCGTCACAAATGTCTGACACCCCCCCCCCCCCCTCAGGTGCGTGACGTCATTTATGGACGGCCCCTAACAACGATGATAAGCCGCGTCGTTGCACTGTCGTTTTTGCTGTTGCCTAGGCTGCTTCTGAATAAAAGTGAAATGAAATAAAATCGTTTCATAGTTAAGTTCACTTGTATTTGGTGTGGTAGAGATATCTACTGCTGCACTGAAATGGATATTAGTTTGTGTGTATGTTTAACTTCTATGGCGCCGTGCGTAGCCAACCGTGCAAATCGGAGGTGCGGGGGAAGGACAACAAACTGAACACATAAAGCAGCTCTAAAGAAATTAGTTTGCAAGTTGGTATCGTGTATAACGCGTATTTTAGTGTAGTGAATAGTAGTGTTGTAATAAAATGTAGTCTATAGCAGTGTATAGTGTGTATATTATTGTAGTGTATAGTAGTGCTGTCTAGTGTAGCGTATAGTAGTGTAGTGTATCGTAGCGTAGTGTATACAGATAACCATAGAGACACATATATGATTAGTACGGTTGGCTACGCACGGTGTTAAAGAAGTTCAACATACTACACTATACACTACATTACATACTATACACTCCACTTACTACACTATACACGACATTACATACTATACACGCCACATACTACACCATACACTACACTACTATACACTACACGACGATACACTACACCACTATACACTCCTATACACTAATATTCACTACACAATACATTGCTGTACGCTATACTACTTGAAAAGTTATTTAATGCTGCTTTTTTTGTTTAGTTTGTTGTCCTTTCCCCGCACCTCCGATTTGCACGGCTGGCTACGTACGGTGCCAAAAAAGTTTAAAATACACAGAGACCCACAGACACCTGGACCCATAGAGAATCATAGAGATATACAGAGACCCATAGACACAACCATAAGATTAGCACGGTTGGCTACGCACGGTGCCAAATACGTTTAACAAACATACATACTACACTATGCACTACATTACATACTAGACACTGCACATACTACGCCATACACTACACTACTATACACTATATCACTATGCACTACACTATGCACCACTATACACTACACCACTATACATGACACTACTATACACTACACCATACACTATTGCACACTACCCAACTAAACACTACACTACCATACACTACACCACTATCAGCAGGGACCTTATAAGTGTAGTGGATTAACACGCGCATACAGGGGGGAATGGTAAAGACGCGCGAGTTATGGACAGCGGGCCGGCCAGGTGTGGCGGCGGGGAACTGTGCGGTAATGACGGGCCAATTAAGCTGGAGAGCGATGTACGGCTGTGATTGGCTGGGGTTGTTGTCAAGGGCGAAGTGGCGCCGGAATGTCTGGTAATAAGGGGCGTTGGGGGGCACGCAGCCTAATTAATTGGTTGGTAATGAGAACGGGGGATATATTCGGGAGACGGGAAGAACGAGGGGGAGTTGTCGCTGGGACTGGAACGAAGCAGGTCGGGGAGAACCGGAGCGAAGACATAGGAGACGGAACAGGCTAGCAGTACAGCAGAGAGAAGCAGAGACAACCAGAGACAGCCGAGACAAGCAGAGAGAGACAGGCAGAGACGGCGGGAGAGAGACCGAGGTACAGCGTGAGACAGAGACAACGGGAGAGAGGCCGAGATACAGCGTGGGACAGAGACAGCGGGAGAGAGACAGAGATACAGCGTGGGACAGAGACAGCGGGAGGGAGAGAGACAGAGATACAGCGTGGGACAGAGACAGCGGGAGAGAGACAGAGATACAGCGTGGGACAGAGAGAGAAAGAGACAACGGGAGAGAGACAGAGATACAGCGTGGGACAGAGACAGAGGCAACGGGAGAGAGACAGAGATAGAGCGTGAGACAGAGACAACGGGAGAGAGACCGAGATACAGCGTGAGACAGAGACAGAGAGAGACAGAGACAACGGGAGAGAGGCCGAGATACAGCGTGGGACAGAGACAGCGAGAGAGAGACAGAGATACAGCGTGGGACAGAGACAACGGGAGAGAGACAGAGATAGAGCGTGAGACAGAGACGGAGAGACAGAGACAGTGGGAGAGAGACGGAGATACAGCGGGAGACAGAAACAGCGAGCGACGGAGAGAGACAGGGACAACGCAGAGGGACAGTGAGGGATAGGGGAGGAAGCGGAGTGAGCGAGACGGGCGGAGCGCGGCGAGCGAGCTGCGGCTAAGCGGAATGACGGGGTCACAGACGTAATGTGAAGAGTTGCAATAAAAGTGGTGTCGGAGAAAACAAGAAAGTTGTCCGCGTCAAGTCGACCACTACATAAGTGTGAGCGAGAGAGAACACGTGGAGGGGAAAATGTAGTGGGAAAAACCGGAAAAGAACCCGGAGAAAATTCCACGCGACCACTGGGAGAGAGACGCCGCAAACTCCCACAGTAGGCACTGGCACTGTGCATAGGGCCTACTCACACACCCACTCACTCACCCACTCAGTCACTCACCCAGTCACTCACCCACTCACTCACCCACCCACTCACCCAATCACCCACTCGCTCACTCGCTCACTCACTCACTCACCCACTCACTCAACCAATCACTCACCCACTCAACCAATCACCCACTCACTCAACCACCTACCCACTAACTCACCCACCCACTAACTTACCTACCCACTCACTCACCCACCCACTCATTCACTCACCCACCCACTCCCCCACTCACTCACCCACCCACTAACTTACCCACCCACTCACTCATCCACCCACTCATTCACTCACCCACCCACTCACTCACCCGCTAACTCACCGACTCGCTAACCCACCCGCCCGCTCACTGACCCACTCACTCAGCACCTACTCACTCACCCACTCACCAGCGCCGTATTTATCAAAAGGCTCACAGGAGGCACTGTGCCTACGGCCTCCGAAAAGAAAATGTGACCCATGTTTTTTTTTATTGTACGATTTAAAAATGTTTTACAAAGCTATCGTTCAGAATAAATATATTTACAGAGAGCAAGGAATCTGCTTTTCTGCGGCACACAGCTCGCTACCATAGAATGAGGGCACAGACTAGGTACTAATGATAATTATTAATCGTGTCAGCAGTTGCGATATCTGTCCAGCGGCTGAACGAAACGGAAAAACAAGCGGAGTGACAGTGGCGGTGGTGGTAACACGGGGCAGCACTAACCAATTGTCGAGTTATCACTGAAGGCCACACGGTGCATAGAGCCTAAAATTATTTTCATCCGGCCCTGGCGGTGAGCGAGGCATATACTTAGGGGTAGGCATTATCCAGGAATACTCTCAAGTACCTGCCATCATCCCATTTAATTTTCTTTAGTCCATGATTATGCCTCTTGGCTTGCGTGCGGTGTGGGGAATAACTTCTACCGTTGCACTTACAGAAACACAATGGTTATTATGACATTGAGCGCGAGATGAAAGCAGGTTATTCCTCACACCGTCGAACCCACGACCTCCTGTATACCACGCGATGGAGTTAACATCTCCTAGCCATCGTGGCGTCAGGGGTTCGGGATCGAACCCACCGCCTCCTGGATACCAGGCAAGGGAGTTAACATCTCTTAGCCACCGTGGAGTCAGGGGTTCGGGATCGAACCCACGACCTCCTGTATACCAGGCGAGGGAGTTAACATCTCCAAGCCATCGTGGCGTCAGGGGTTCGGGATCGAACCCATCCCTAACCTGTATACCAGGCGACGTAGTCAACGTCTCCGTGCCACCATGAGAGACAATGGAGTGGTCACCTTCTCTCTCCTTGAAGCGCAGGCGGACTCCTCCGCCAGGCAGCCGCGTGAGTTCCTCGCACTCGCCTCCCCCCGACAGCCGCTTGCTCTGGAAGTATTTGAGGAGCTTCGCCTCCACGGCTTTGTCTAGGGCTGGGAGGCCTCTCACGTCAACCTCGTTGCTGCCGCTGCAGCCTTCCATCGCAGCAGCAGTATCGGCACCTCCGACTAGCACGGTAGGCTATGCGCGGTGCGAATGAAGTTCAACATACAGCAGCAGCAGTTGCAGCAGGAGCCCCTGGTCGCGAGATGTTGCGCTGCTGCTGCAAGGTGGGCTAAAGGCGGTGGTGGAGCGTTCGAGTGTTAACGTGAAAATGTAATGGGAATAAATTGGAACGACGTTGGCGCATCCGCACCCAGCCCAGCACCCTTCCCACTTTCGACAGCGAAAACGAAACCGAGAAAGGGGAAGTTTACACTTGGCTCAGCCGTGACGCGCGTACACGCGCGCGGTGGGTGGCGGAGTGTCGCAGTTTCGATAAAAACAAGTAATGAAATGAAACATAAACTTAAAAATTATTAAATGTAATATTAGCAGAAGTTACTAAATACAAGCTAAATTAAAAAAATACTGAGATAAAATAAAACTAATTAGATTTAAAAAAATAAAGGTAAATAGAAATTGTAAAAAAAAATTAAGTTAAGAATAATTAAATAAAATATACATAACATTATTAAATAAAATATAAATATAAAAATTCGAGTGAGCGTGATTGAATTTAACATAAAAACAATTTCAATTGAATTTAAATGAGAAAAAAAAGCATTAAAATAATTAACTTGAATATAAGTAGATATAATAAAATAAGCTATGCGTGAGTGTTATTGAATTAAATTAACACAATTAAATGAAATATGAATAAGAATGATTGAATAAAATACAAAAAATTATTATACATACGTAAATATAGTTGAACACAAAATAAATAAACAGTATTTAAATACCAGCGCTAAACCATTCATGCGAAGTGAGTTTTGCGTGCATCAGCAGCGGGTCAGGCGTGCCGGTTAATACATTAATTATCGCGTATTTTAGTTGTGTTGTGGTTGTCCCTTTTGCTGTTTATCGTACTCTGTGGCAGTGTTTCCTCAAACTTGTTTTTGAGCGCGGTGACAGGACGCACCCACCTCCCTAAATGCCAGGAACACAGAACCATCACAATCTATATTTAGACCGCCGGAGGAATCCAGTAAGCTATGAAGCTTAGTTTCACAAACGTCCAGTAGTTATCTGTAGGATATCTTTTTATGCCGGTATCAAAATATAAAAAGTAAGAATAAATCTGGCTGCCGCCTGATGATATCGGTTGTAATTACTGGCGAAACGTCGTACTCTGTAAATGTTGTGGATTTGCTCTCCAACACAACGGTGTGCTGTACTGGGTCTTTCGGTAAAGTCACGTAGATATGTTGAAAGAAAACAAAAAAATACAAAAAACTACGTTTCGATCACAACACAAGCGATCGTCCTGATGACTTTACCGAAAGACCCAACGAATATTAATTCCTACAGTCACGAAAGCTTTAGGTCAAGATGTAACAGTAGCCTTGTTCTTGATGGCCGTGTCTCAACCACCAGTGTTAGACTAGAAGACAACGCCAAAGTGCGAACGGGACAGAGGCGAGTTTTTACTTATTAAATGCTCTTACACTTGGTATTCACACAGAAAACCAGATATACCAAAAAACATTGACCAGGCAATGCAAGTATCCCGTGGTGAACATGCAAACTAGCATCCTCTGCTAATGTATGCATTGTCTTCGAAACTGTTTTATTGCCAGAAAGTGTAAAAGCTACTCTTGTAATTGTTTTCCATCATCTGTGAAACTGGCAAAGAGGTATTTCAGAGATATCCCTGATGCTCGACCGGACATACAAATGCTCTGATGCGCGCATTGTCCTTGTACTGTTCGTCTTTTAACGCTGTTATCTGGTCTGATGCTGGTGGCAGAGACGAAGCCATGAAGCACACGGATGCTGTCTCTGTGTAATGAGTCTATAGGTCTCTATGTGGTGAGTCTGTGGGTCTCTATGTGTGGGGCTATGGGTATATGTGTAGTGAGTATATGGGTCTCTGTCTCTGTGTGGTGAGTCTATGGATCATTCTATGATGAGTCTGTGGTTTTCTATGTATGAGTCTATGGGTATCTGTGCAGTGAGTCTATGGGTCTCTATGTTTGAGTCTTTGGGTCTCTTTGTGGTGAGGTTATGGGTCTCTGTGTGGTAAGTATATGGATTTCTGTTTGAGGAGTCTATGAGTCTCTGTGTGATGAGCCTATGGGTATCTGTGTGGTGAGTCAGAGGGTCTCTATGTATGAATGTATGGGTCTCTGTGTGGATCTCTGTTTGAGGAGACTATGGGTCTCTGTGTGATGAGTCTATGGGTCTCTTTGTGTTGAGACTATGGGTCTCTATGTGGTGAGTTTATGATTCTCTGTGTGGTGAGTATATGGATCTCTGTTTGAGGAGACTATGGGTCTCTGTGTGCTGAGTCTATGGGTCTCTGTGTGGTGAGTCAGTGGGTCTCTATTTATGGGTATCTGATGGGTGTATGGGTCTCTATGTGGTGCGTCTATGGGTCTCTGTATGGTGAGTTTATGATTCTCTGTGTGGTGAGTATATGGATCTCTGTTTGAGGAGACTATGGGTCTTTGTAATGAATCTATGGGTCTCTTTGTGGTGAGACTATGGGTCTCTGTGTGGTGAGTCTGTGGGTCTCTATGTGTGAGTTGTGGGTCTCTATGTGTGAGTATATGAGTATCTGTGTGTTGAGTCTATGGGTCTATGTGTGGTGAGTTTATGATTCTCTGTGTGGTGAGTATATGCATCTCTGTTTGAGGAGACTATGGGTCTCTGCGTGATAAATCTATAGGTCTCTTTGTGGGGAGACTATGGATCTCTGTGGTGAGTTTATGATTCTCTGTGTGGTGAGTATATGGATCTCTGTTTGAGGAGACTATGGGTCGCTGTGTGATGAGTCTATGGGTCTCTTTGTGGTGAGACTATGGGTCTCTGTGTGGTGAGTCTGTGGGTCTCTATGTGTGAGTTTGTGGGTCTCTATGTGTGAGTATATGAGTTTCTGTGTGTTGAAGTCTATGGGTCTATGTGTGGTGATTCTACGCATCTCTGTGGGAGGAGTCTATATGTCTTTGTGTGGTGAGTCTATGGGTCTCTGTTTGAGTCTCGGTCTCTGTGTGGTGAGTCTGTGGGTCTCTATGTGTGAGTCTATGGGTCTCTGTTTGAGTCAGTTGGTCTCTGTCTGGTGAGTCTACGCATCTCTGCGTCTCTATGTGGTGAGTTTATGGGTCTCTGTGTGAGTTGGGTCACTGTGTGGTAAGTCTGTGGGTCTCTGTATGGGGAGTCTACAGTATGTATCTCTATTTATGGGTCTCTGATGAGTGTAGGGGTCTCTGTGGTGCGTCTATGGGTTTCTGTGTGATGAGCCTTTGCGTTTCTGTGTGGTGAGTCAGTGGGTAACTATGTGTGAGTCTATGGGTCTCGGTGTCTCTGTGTGGATATTCTGTGGGGATTTATGTATGGGTGTATGAGTCTATGGGTCTCTGTGTCTCTGTGTGATGAGTCTATGCGTCTCTGTGTGGTGAGTCTATGGATCTCTGTGTCTCTGTGTGATGAGTCTATGAGTCTCTGTGTGGTGAGTCTGTATATCTATTTATGGGTTTCTGATGAGTCTATGGATCTTTGTGTGATGCGTCTATGTGTTTCTGTGTGATTAGTCTATGGGTCTCTTTGTGTTGAGTCTATGGGTCTATGTGTGGTGAGTCTACGCATCTCTGTGGGAGGAGTCTATGTGTCTTCGTGTGGTGAGTCTATAGGTCTCTGTTTGAGTCTGGGTCTCTGTGTGGTGAGTCTGTGGGTCTCTATGTGTGAGTATATGTGTCTGTGTATTTTGAGTCAGTGGGTCTCTGTCTGGTGAGTCTACGCATCTCTTAGTGAGGAGTCTATATGTGGGGTCGGCGTTCGCCGTGCCTTGCTGTGCAGGCGCTTGCAGACGTCACGGTGGAGGTTCCCCTGGCACACAAATGTTCATCCCATTACGCTATCGGAAACGTTTAGGGGAAGTTGACGCGACGGCAGGGGCTCTGCTGTCCCCATCTAACATCATTGCCAAGAGCTTTTCTCTTGTTGCTGCTCAGATCATTGTCGGAGTCGGTCAGGCCCCGTTCTTGCAAGTTTTGAACGAGGGCCCGGAAGGCATTGTGATCCCAGCCGGTACGGTTTTGGCTCACGCCACTACCGCGTTCACGGCCTACGAGGAGGGCCATCCGCACGGATTGGCTGCGGGAGTGGGCTACGGAGATGATTGTGACGATCGGTGGATCGCCGAATTGTGCCGGGAAAATTCGTCATTGACCATTCAGCAGCGTGGGGCGCTCGAGCACTGCTGTCTGACTACACGGACGTTTTTAGCAGGAACGATTTTGATTCGGGACGTATGTCTTTCTTGTCCCAGCACATTGACACCGGTGAGGCGATGCCCGGTACGAATTAACCCACACCGCATGAGTCCCAAGGAGAGGGACCATGTGCACAGCGCGGTGGAGGAAATGCTCGCCGCTGACATAATTTCGCCATCTAATAGCCCTTGGGGCGCTCCTGTTGTGCTCGTGTTTGCTAATAAGGTATCTGTGGCAGATGCATACCCTCTGCCATGGATGGACGATTCCCTCGCTGCCTTGTCTGGGGCGAAATTATTTTCCACCCTCGATTTCTCGTCGGGGTTTTGGCAGCTGCCCCTCGATGATATATCTAAACCGAAAACAGCGTTCCGTATGCCTCGAGGCCTGTTTGAGTTCAAATGCCTTCCCATGGGCCTGAACGCTGCTCCTGCCATGTTCCAGCGCTTGATGGAGATGGTTTTGGCCGGGTTGCAATGGGACACGTGTTTCATATACTTGGACGATATTATTGTGTTGGTCGTACGTTCGAGGAACACCTTCAATGGTTGAAGGTGGTTTTCGACAGGATGCGGTCCGTTAATCCTCAATTCAAGCCTAAAAAGTGTCATCTTCTGCAACACTCCATGCGTTACCTTGGTCACATTGTCAGCTCCGATGGTGTCGTCATGGACCCAGACAAAATCTCTTGCGCCCATGACTGGCCAACCCCTATCTCTGTGCGTCGATTTGTCGGGTTCGCGTCCTACTACCGTCGTTTCATTCCAAATTTTGCTACCATTGCGAAGCCTCTGCACATCCTGACAGGGAAGAATGAGATGTTTAAATGGGGATCGGAAGAGGAGTCGGCGTTCCGAACCCTCCGGGATCGATTGGCGACCGTGCCCACACTCGATTATCCGGACTTTTCATTGCCCTGTGTCTTGGACACTGACGCCAGTGATATCAGCATCAGCGTAAAAATGGCGCTGAAAGGGTGGTGGCATACGGTAGCAGGGTTCTCTCTCCGGCGGAAACTCACTACTGTGTTATGCGCAG